CAGTATATAAGTATTTGTTATAATAGACTCTATAAATGTTGAGTTAGTAAGCAACTAAAATGGAATAAGGTAACAAAATAAAACGCCAAAAATATGACATTGCTATGAAATTGCTATAGAATATAGAAAATATAGCAGATAATTTATGCAGTTTAACAGAAATTGAAACTCAGCATTTGCTAAATAAAGACAGTTGGGGACAAAAATAAGATTCTATAGGGTCTTCTTTATACACACCCACACACACACACACACACACACACACACATATATATATATATATATGTATGAAAGTACATTATATTTAGCAGGGGGAAATTAGAGGTAGTTTGGTAGAGGAAGGAATCTAAATACCATCAAACTATATTGTATGAAAAACACAAAAATTCAATAAAAACAAAATTATGTTGAAAATTGTGTGTATGTTTGTGTGTGTTGTATTGAAGCATGTGTGTATGTGTGCTTGTATGTATGTGAGCACATTTGCCCTATGGGTTTGTATATGAACTTATAGGCTCAAGACTGAAGCAGGGTGTCTTTCACAATCTTTCTCGTTACTAAAATTCCATCTGGGACATGGATATAACATCAGGCCCCCATCTCCCTTGACTGACCTTAGGACAAAACCACGTTTAGTTTCTCCAAACTGCAGTCTTTGTTACCAGAGTTTATTTTACTTACTTACAGAGCAATGTGTGAGGGTTTACTTACAGGAGTGCAGGTGATCCCACACTGGAAAGTCTCCATTCAGGCCTAGGTGACTTTCCAGCAGTTGTCCAAAGGGCAAGGGCCCCTCCCTTCAGGCTTCCTTCACTTAGATGACCTTAGTCCTTCCCCATGTGCAACTGGTTGGTTGGGAGGTGTGGCTGACTCTCCCCAACCTTCCTTTTCAGTCATATTTGTTTGTGATGATTTTAAGCAAGCAGGTGCAACCTTGCTTGGGAAGAAGGAAACTATAGATAGCTTGACATTCAGAGGACAGTTCCATGCTACAGCCCTCTACCTTAGTCAGTGAAGGGTCTCTTGCTGAAGCTGGCCTCACCATTTTAGCTAAATTGGCTTACTTTGGGTGTTCCCTGTCTTCCTCTCAATCCAATGGAATTACAAAGAGACCAGGCTGCTGGGGATCCCAACTCTGCTTCTTACATGTGCATGGCCAGCACGTTAAAAGATGTGCCATCTTAAATTCCTTATTTTTCAATTTAATGATGAAATTTAGAAATTATTACATGCCATACCAGTCTAGGATTATATGTAATAATCTGGATTTCTTCAAAATATTTAATTAATGATGAAGTAAACATCATACTTAAGCATTGTTTTAGTTTCAAGCACATATAAGCATTTTTCTTTTATAAATATAATTTCTTAAAAGCTCCAGTAACCTAGAAACCATTTTAGTATGCATATTCAGTACATACTAATTTGAGTAATTTAAATACCTTTTATTCGAATGACAAATATTTTATTTTCTTAATGAAAAACTCTTGAAATTGATGAAAAGACTGTATTCTTTATAACCTGTGTATACTAGTCAAAATAATACATTATTCACCATACAAACACTGACTCTGTTCCCAGGAAAAGCTTAGTCTCTTATTTCTTTTGACAGTGTGCAGACCTGGGTTCTTCAAAGCCTCTCCTCACAGCCAGAGCTGCAGCAAATGTCCACCTCACAGTTACACCCATGAGGAAGCTTCAACCTCTTGTGTCTGTGAAAAGGATTATTTCAGGAGGGAGTCTGATCCACCCACAATGGCATGCACAAGTAAGGAACCCCATGGCTATTTGGTGATTCTTTCACCAGTTTGGAGCAACAGCATGATGGAGCCTGTAATGTTTTATTAACATTTCCCTCTAAAACAGGCATGTTTACCTTTCTCAGTATATATATATTTTTTTTTTCAAATTTCAATTTCCTTTAGTAAGTTTTGAAAAAACAAAATGTCTTTTTCTAACTTACTGCCAGAAACATCCTTTTCCGTAACTTCGATTCAACATCTGAGACACTGATAAGCAATGATTCTTTTTATTTTGTTTCTTAATCTATTCTTGGCTTCAGCAAACTTTGCTTCTTATTTCTAAGGCAGTTTTCTGATCACATAATTATGTAATAAATGAAAACATCACCAAGTTCTAACTTGCCTGACTAACCTGCAAGATCACTGAAAAGATTGTATACCAAAGCATGCAGGCAATGGGTCACAGAGCACACAGCACTGCCATGGCAAATCACATTTAATATTTATAAAGCCAAAATATTTGCTTGGGCTCTCATACAGCTATCATGTTTCTTGCTAGTCAAAGTCCTTAACTATATTACCAATGCTGTACTTGCTGATCAAACAATCAGTGTGACTAGATATTAAAATTTTAACTTTAGTAGTTCTAGTAGATACATGTGCATTTATCAAAGCCTTTGTATTTGTAGTTTCTACATATTTTAGTGAATATAATAGATTTACTTCACATTTGTTTACTTGGTGACAATATATACTTTCAGAGATTTTCCACTAGCCAAGTCGATGTAATTGAAGAAAAAAGAACGGTAAATAAAAGGAAGAAGAGTGAATGCTTCATATTTGACAATAAATACCATTCGGAACGTGCCTTGAATTAATTTGTTAGTTCCTAGTTAATTATGTGGGAGCTCAACAATATTCACAAATCTTGAAGTTTCACAATACATCTTTAGACACAGATATTATAGATGACTATATGAAATCATCACAAATTGAAATTTTAAACAAATTTCTGGATTTGAATGTCCTTGTCAGTGAAGGATAGTTCATAATTCTTGAGATAATTGATAATTGACATCACACCACTAAATTTCATTCTTTGTAACCCATGACTAATGATTTTATTAACTGGAAGATTACTAGTATTAAAAATACATCCTCAAATGAATAAATTTCAATACTGTATACATTTTTATTATGAAACTTTAGGTTGAATGAGATATTTTTGTTGTGATGGAGATGTAAACATTTATCTAGATATGTAAAACTCTAATTTTCCTTAATAACAACAATAAAATGCTGGCTGGATGAGAGTGGTAAATTAAGAATACTATACATTGAATCATATTATACATTCCACACTTTCATGTTATTAGATTTCTTAAAGTGATTCAGCCCTGATCTGTATTGTTACATCAAATGCACCTACATTTCTGCAGACTTTTAATGTTTGGGACTCTTTTCAAGGCTATAGGCTTTGGTGGTAAGGTCTTTTAGCACTCTTTTAGAACAAAAGGCCACAGATTCAAATTTCTCTGTCTCCAGCTTTGAGAATTTCTACTACTGTGCTCAAAGGAGTAGTAAGCCATACCCATTTCACACAAAATACCATTCTTAGTGTGTGTTTTCAGTTTCATTATTAGTGGCACAAACATATGATCCCTTGAATATATCATGTTGCGATGTAGACGTTGAACTTTGCATTTGGCTGTTTGGAATTTCAGTTATGACACCAATTCCTGACAATGTTTGTATCTTGAATACATATATATATATATATATATATATATATATTCAAACTTTGGAAACAGTTTTATAAACGTATAGGAAAAAGTTCAAACAGAAATGAAAGCAAGAAGGTTCTGATGAATACATGTAAGCCAGGCGTCCGTCTCCCAGCTACATTGCGGTTCACACTCCATTTCTCCTCTTGGGGCAGTGAAATGTTTTGGATGTGGACTAAGTTGGAGTCCCTGCTTTTCACTTCTCCTACAGAGCTTCACACCTTTTGCGTTTCTTGTTAACTATTGAGACATATGTGTCCTTCTGAAAGTTGCAGATGTGTTCTAAATAGAGTCCGAAAAAATAGGAAGTGTAAGTCAGGCACATTTTAATGAATTTAGGGCAAAGAAAATGAAAATATTTCAGCTTGCAGAAATAAAATTCAAGTTGGACATCATTCTAAATTATACATATTTGACTATATTTTGTCCTCTTAAATATTATGCCTATAACAATTAGTTTTAAAACTGAAATATCTCCTTATGTGTCTGATATTAAATAAGTTTGTAGTAAATAGTTGTAGTATTTATATCTGTAGAAATTGATGTGACTTAAGAGTGGCTGTGTGAATAGAAGTATATGAGGTTGCACAGGTAGAAAAAACCCACAAGGTTGAATAATAAACACAATCATCATGTGTATTGAGTGGGGATAAGTCAATTCTTTAGATAAGGAGTTGTTTTATTTAAATAGAATTTTTAAACCTCTTAAATACTTGTTTTTTTTCCTTCAAAATCACCTTTAATCATATTCTTTTAAAGATTATGGAATAATATCAGATATGAATGAATTTTGAGTTTTATATTTCAATTAAACACCTAGTAGACAAACTAAACTACATTATCTTAAGTAGGTGAATTTATGTTTTTTACCATTAAAATATGACAGGACTCTGCTTTATCTCCTGTAGGGAGAGATGCTCTGATGAGATCTCTGAACCAAAATCAGTGTAAGCTCATTTTGAGAACACCTGGTCTTCTAACATTTAAAGCTGACAGAGGCCCATATTTTAAGTATCTAAAAGTTGAAGTTGATAATAGTGGAATCAATTGCATTTCTCTTTAGTATGGTAATCGTTAGGATATCAAACAGTTAAAATAATATTCAAAGCTAAGGCATTACCATTTACTTATGGAATCTTTTATGCAATCAAAACTATGGATTTCACTACTAAGCATTAAATATGACATTTCTGAATATGAATATAGACTTAAAAACTACATGCAATTTCTATTAGCATATGGATAAAAATAAAGTGTCTAAGATAAACTACATGAAGTTAAGAAAGTAATAGCACTATTCAAGCCTTTATGTGTTGATAAAGGAATTTAGTAAAATGAATATATTTCTTTTCATTTTGTGGTAGGTGATTGGAGATTGACAACCTACTGATTCTTCAAAATCTGAACCCTTTTCACTCATCATATTTCAGTGTCTGTTAGAATTTCAAATTTTATTTAAAATTCTCAATTTTAAGAGTAATCAGTGAAATAACTTATGCCATAATTTAAGATGTTGTCTGTTCTTAGGAGGTAAAGGTTTAAATTCTTTCAGTAATATAAAATATAGGCATGTGCTTTATTTTGTGGTGAACTAAGGCTACCTTTTTATTTATGAAAAAATTCATTGTCAAGAACCATCCTCAAAAATTCCTACCTATTCTTTTTCTTAACAGAAACTACATATTTGCTTCCTAGTATCAGAAAGGAAGTCCTCATGTCAAACTCAAAACCAATTCCTTTACATAGATTTATTCCATTATTATCTATATACATATTTAAAAAATATCTGAATTATTACATTAGCTTTTTAACATTGCAAAGGCAAATAATTTCTGTTGTGCATACATATCACTAGTTTAAAAATGGCAGCAAGATTTGTCAAATATTATTATAAACTATGACATAAAATATTATTTGTGAGTTTAGTTTTTCTTTTGACCAGGGATTAGTGTGATAAATTATGCATAATTAATATCATCTTAAAATATGTTTTTCTCACTTTACTTTGTAAACCAGGACCCCCCTCAGCTCCTCGGAATGCCATCTCAAATGTTAATGAAACTAGTGTCTTTCTGGAGTGGATTCCGCCTGCTGACACTGGTGGACGGAAAGATGTGTCCTATTATATTGCATGCAAGAAGTGCAACTCCCATGCAGGTGTGTGTGAGGAGTGTGGCGGTCATGTCAGGTACCTCCCCCAGCAAATCGGCCTGAAAAACACCTCTGTCATGATGGTGGACCTACTCGCTCATACAAACTATACCTTTGAGATTGAGGCAGTGAATGGAGTGTCCGACTTGAGCCCAGGCACCCGGCAGTATGTGTCTGTAAATGTAACCACAAATCAAGCAGGTAAGTGCCATGCCCAATCCAACTGTGTATTGTAGATTTAGCTCTGCCAATTATACCTACAGCTGCAGGGCTAAATTGATGGAATCCTGTGAGAAAACTTCCCCAGAAAGCAGGTCAGGGACAATAGAAGATCATATCTTAAACCATGATTTACCTTTAAAGAGAAGCTAAGGCTTGCTTAATACATACACTGAAGGAGAGCCCCCCACTGAGAGGAGAGAGAGAGAGAGAGAGAGAGAGAGAGAGAGAGAGAGAGAG